ACCAATTCTAAAACGTAAATGGAAAAGCAAAGGAGCTAGAAAAGCCAAAACAACTTTGCAAAGGAGGAATAAAGTTGTAAAGTCACACTAATTTCAAGACTTATAACAATAAAACTAGAGAACCAAGAGCATCCAGACATATACCCACATAAATACGGCCAAATGGTATTTGACAAAGGTGCAAAAGTCAGTCAATAGAGAAAGGAAGCTCTTTTCAACAAATGATATTGGAACAAATGAACATTCATTTGCAAAAAAGGAACCCTGACCTAAACCTCATACCTTACACAAAAATTAACTTGAAATCGGTAACAGATATACATATAAACTGTAAAAGTTTTAGAATAAAACACAGGATTAGCCACATGGTAAAGTTAACATCACTAAGCGATTAAGTCATATTGATAGCATGTCCTTCTGATACGATGTGATGAAAATGGCAATTCACCTCTGTGGTATTCTTTCCAAAATCCCACAACCCAAGTATAACCATAACAAAAAGAGATACACCCAAACTGAAGGACATTTAACAAAATACCTGACCCAAACTCCTTAAATCTGTAAAGAAGATAAAAATTAAGGAAATACAGATGTTTTCAAAGACCAGAGACTAAACAAACTAAGGAGACATGATGACTAAATGCCTGGATCCTAAAACAACTTCAGTGGAAAAACTAGTTAAATGAAGTTTAACTAATAACAAGGGAGCAAAGTTAGTTTCTCAGTTCTGACACATGTATCATGGTGATATAAGCTATTAACAGTAAGGGAAACTGGTTGAAGGTATAGCAGATCAGTCTGTACTATCTTTGCAACTTTCTGTAAATTGAAAAAAATCAAAATTGTTTTGAAGTTTTCTTTGTTTTTGTTTTGTTTTGTTTTTTAAGTAGCAGAAACCTCTGTACCCTGGGGCAAAGAGTTCTTAAACACAGCATGAAACATGACCCATAAAGTAAAATACCGATAAACTGATAGGACAATACATCTATTACAATACATCTAAAATAAAAAATACTGACATTGAGTGTTGATGAAGATGAAGAGCAACTAAAAGTCTCATACATTGCTGGTGGGAATGCAGAATTGTTCAGTCCCTCGGGAAATCAGTTTGGTCATTTGTTTTTCCTTTTTTTTTAATTAAGTTTTTATTTTAATTACAGTATAGTTAACATACAATGTTATACTAGTTTCAGGTGTATAGTGATTCAACAATTCCGTACATCACCCAGTTATGGGTGACAAAAGCACTCCTGAATCCCCATCACCTATTTCATCCATCCTCCCACCCACCTCTGGTAACCATTGGTTTGTTCTCTATAATCAAGCATCTGTTTTTCAGTTTTTCTGTTTTTTTTCCCCTTTGCTCATTTGTTTTGTTTCTTAAATTCCATGAGTGAAATCATATGGTATTTGTCTTTCTTATTTCACTTAGCATTATATCCTCTCTCTCTCCATCTATGTTGTTGCAAATGGCAAGGTTTCATTCTTTTTTATGGTTGAATAATACCAGTGTCTGTGTGTGTGCACCACACACACCATATCTTCTTTATCCGTTCTTCTATCAATGGACACTTGGGCTGCTTTCATATCTTAGCTATTGTAAATAATGCCGTTATAAACATAAGGGTGCATGTATCCATCCCTTTGAATTAGTGTTTCTATTTTTAGGGGGTAAATACCCAATAGTGTGATTACTGGATTGTAGGGTAGTTCTATTTTTAACCTTTTGAGGAACCCCCTACTGTACTCCACAGTGGCTGAACCAGTTTACATCCCCACCAAAAGTGCAAGAGGATTCCTTATTTCTCCATATCCTCACCAACACTTACTGTTTCTTGTGTTTTTGACTTTAGACATTCGGACAGGCATGAGATGATATTCCCATTGTAGTTTTGATTTACATTTCCTTGATGATGAGTATCTTTTCATGTGTCTGTTGGTTACCTGGGTGTCTTTGGAGAAATGTCTGTTCATGTCTGCACATTTTTTAATTAGGATATTTATTTTTTGGGTGTTGAGTTGTACCAGCTTTTTATATATTTTTTATACTAATCTTTATCAAATATGTCATTTGCAAATATCATCTCCCATTCTGAGTGTTTCCTTTTAGTTTTATTGGCTGTTTCCTTCACAGTGCAGAAGCTTTTTATTTTGATGCAGTCCCAATAGTATATTTTGGCCACTTCTTATAAAGTTAAAAATATGCACCTACCATATGACTAGCAATCTCACCCTAGGCATTTATCCCAGTGAACTAAAAATGTACTTTTATACAAAATCTGTTCACAAATATTTATAACAGCTCTATTCATAAATGCCTAAACCTAGAGGTGCCTGGGTGGCTCAAACATCTGACTCTTGATTTCAGCTCAGGTCATGATCTCACAGTTCGTGAGATTGGGCCCCACACTGGGATCTGTGCTGACAGCACGAAGCTTGCTTGGGATTCTCTCTCTCTCTCTCTCTCTCTCTCTCTCTCTCTGCCCCTCCCCTGCTCACAAACTCTTTCTCTCTCTCTCTCTCTCTCTCAAAAATAAACTTTAAAAATAATAAATATAAATACCCAAACCTAAAAACAACCCTAATGTCATTCAAGGAGTGAATGAATAAACAAACCAGTATATATTCAGACAACAGAATACTGCTCAGCAATAAAAAGGAACAAACTATTGATACAGAACTACTTCAAAGGATCTCAAAAGCATTATGTTGAGTAAAAGAAACTAGTCTCAAATAGTTACTACATAATTCCATCTCTATGACATTCTTAAAAGGAAAAAACTATCAAAACTAAAAATATATCAGTGATTGCAGAAAATTATAATGGACAAGAAGAGTTTTTTGGGAAGTTACAGAACTGTTCTATATTCTGATTGTGGCGGTAGTTTTAAGAAACCTATACATAGGAACATGTGTGTGACTGGGTTGGTTAAGCATCTAACTTAGTTTGGGCTCAGGTCATGATCTCATAGTTCATGAGATCAAGCCCCATGTCAGGCTCTGTGCTGACACTGCCCTGTCTCTCTGTCTCTCTGCCCCTTCCCTGCTTGTGCTGTCCCTATCTCTCTCAAAATAAATAAATACACATTTAAAACAAACAAAACCCTATACATAGGTGTTGAAGTTCAATGAACTATTCATCAAAAAAAAGTTAATTTAACTATATACGAATTTTAACTAAAAATTTTTTAAAGTAAATGTAAAGGTTAAAAAAACTAACAAGAGATTTTCATTAATATATAAAAAGAAATAGATCACTAACATGTACTGCATTAATACATAGAAAGGTTTCACTCACTCATTCAATAATTATTTTTAAACTATAAACTATGTGTCAAACACAATTTTAGGAAATAAATATTAAACAGTTGATCAGAATGAATATATTTTGCCTATGGAATGGACATGAATTGGGGGGGACCAGTTGTCAAACTGTATGGGTTATACAGTGCTCCTTCAAAATACATGTCTATCTAGAAGCAAAAAAAAAAAAAAAAGGTTGAACAGAGATTTTATAACAGCATTCAAATTTTGATAAACACATTATGTACCACTATCTTACTAAATCATCACAATTATTCTTAAAGGTACATATTATTTATTACTCTGTCTTTACAAACATAGAAACCAACTCAGAAAAATTGCCCAAAACTGAAAATAAGTATGTGAGCTAGAAATTCAACATAAGTATGTCTAATTCACTGTCTGCCCAAACAGTAGGTGTTCAATTAATGGTAAATGAGGTGAATGAGTGAGTACATGCAAAATCATGTTCTATGACACCATGCTGCCCTCCGGTCTTTTGCCATTTTAAATGTATATATTCACATTTTAAAAGATCTGAAGAGAATCTGGATTGATTACATTAAATGGCAATTTATTAAATTACTCTTATACTTGTTTAAATTCAGTTTTTAAAAGTTGACACTAAAATGACAGGCATATTTATGAAACAATATCCAGTTTATTTGCATTTGCAATTAGTTTTCTTTTTTTTTAAGCAAGCTACATAGTCTACTTGCTATAGTAATCACACTGAAATGAAGAAAAAAAGAAGCAAAGAAATTATCATTTTCCCCTTTATTGAAATTCTTCAATAAAAAATCAAGAGACCAACTCATACCAACAGACAAACATAAAACCAGTATATAAATGTATTTTACCTAGGTGTCCTTTCTTGACCATACACTCATACTTGAGACATTTTGGTAGTGGTATGCTTCAATACCACCCCTACCAAAATGAGAGAAAAACCTTTTAAGTGTGATGTACCTCTTATATTAATCCATCACATTTATAATTTAGATATGATGAGTTATGATGTTATCATGTAACTGAGATCAACATTTTATTTCAGTTTAATTTCCAACAATACACATTAAGTTTTCTACAGTAAGTAAATGTTTCATGCTAGTCATCAGAATTATAGGTAGGCTCTACCCTAGATAATGAAACAAACTGCAGAAAAGAATAAACAGCAGGCCTGTGACTACTATCCTTAGAATGGCCTGCTTGCAAGGCTGACCTTTCACAGGCACCTAGGAATTTGGATTTGGAGAAGGTTCTCAAAAAACTCTTCAATAAGAGTTACTGTGCTTAAACTACACAATGTGGTTTATGTTGAACACCAGCTTTTCTTCTGGGAATCTGAAATTTTGTTATGTACCGGTCAGAAGGTGCCAGCCCCCAAATACAAACCCTGAGAGCTGAGCCGCTAACAACCTTCGTTGGTAGATGTTTCGTATGTGTTGTTACAACTTACTGTTAAGGGAATTTAAGTATATCCTGAGTAACTCCATTGGGAAAGGATTCAAACACTTCCTCCAACTTTGCCTCAGGCACCTTTTCTCTAGATTGATATTGTTAGCATAATAAATCATAGTAAGTGTAACCTTGGGCTGAGTTCTATTCATCCTCCTGACAAATCACTGAACCTGGGGGAGGTCTTGGGGTCTCCCAACACACATACTAAAAGTTACCTGAGTAAAATGTATACCTACCATCTTACCAGGCAATGTGCTCTCGGAGGAAAGTCATTATTCATACACAACAAATCTTGCATAGACTGTGGAATAACATCTACAAAAACATTTCATAATGAAAAAATTAGTATGTTCATTCTAAGGCAAAATTTTGTAACATGATTTAAAAAAATCGTATTACATAACATGTCTTGCTAGTCCATATAGTTATGCAATTGCTTAAAGATTTATATCTAGGGCTATCTCTAAGATTTGGGGTGAAAAAGATGTCCTTCTCATGGGGGCCTGGGTGGCTCAGTTGGTTAAGCATCCGACTTCAGCTCAGGTCATGATCTCATGGTTTATGAATTTGAGCCCTGCATTGGATTCTGCTGATAGCTCAGAGCCTGGAGCCTGCTTTGGTTTCTGTGTCTCCCTCTCTCTCTCTGACCTTCCCTGACTCGCGCTCTGTTTTTACTCTAAAAAATGAATAAACATTAAAAAATATATATATATAATAAAGATGTCTCTCTCTCAATGTCTTTTATTTCTAAAAAGCCAGCTTCTAAGTATTGTTCCCATGTTTATAATATTTTCCTTTCTTCTATGTCATGACTCAAACAGTTCCTCAGCCTTACTAGAAAGCCATGTTTTATCTCTTCTTCTTGGTCTGCCCTTGTCTCTACTTTTCTTCAAAACTACTTACAGTCCTGTCACTTCCTTACCACCTCTTATGGCCAGCCTTTGCTGGCCTCTGGCCATCTTAAGTGTTCTTATAAAACCATTAACCAGGTTCCCACCCATGTATAACCCATGTATCTTTAAGCACTTGTAATTTATAATAAGATACTGACGTATATCATCCTTATTTATTTATAAATGCATACTAAACTCAAAGCATAAAAAATATTTATAACATATCCTTTGTTGTATAGTCATAATTCCTTAGCAAATTTATGTTTAATTACCTTTTGAAAAAGAGTATATAGGAGAACACTAATGACTTGATGCTTTAACTAAAGCCAACAAACAACTCCAACAAAATAAACTATCAGTGCTCAAATCTTCTGACCTCTGATAACATAGTTTTAAATGTGTATCTCCAAATTAAATGAATTGATGGTTTACTTGTAACTTCTACCACTAGGTACAGCTTCAATCACAACCAAATTCAAACTGCATCATACATATATACATATGTACATATACATACATACAACAATAATGACTTAACTAAAATCCATTCATCTTCTCTCAGACCACAGTTCATCTCAGAAACACTGATTCTGAGGCTCCTGGGTATCTCAATCGGTTGAGAGTCTAACTCTTGATTTCGGCTCAGGTCATGATCTCATGGGTTGTGAGACCGAGTCCCCTGTTGGGCTCTGCACTGACAGCATGGAGCCTACTTGGGGTTTTCTCTCTCCCTTTCTCTCTACCCTTCCCCATCCCACACTCTCTCTCTGTTCCTCTCTCTCAAAACAAATAAACACTAAAAAAAACCCAAAAAACACTGATTCTAAGCCTCCTTATTTTAACAGCTTCTTCTTGATGTTCCTCAAATTAATAGCACTTAAGATTTCTCTCCCTTTAACAGTTTGCTTCATTAATGAGCAAAATGTTGGAACTGGAACTTTCTGGGCTATTATCAGACTTCCCACCAGCTGCATATATTTCCCTCTTCCCCTTCCTCCTCAAGTACACTTATTCATATTCTGGTTTAATTATTTTACTGTATAAATTGTCTTAATTATGTGTATATATAGTCAGTGTGATCTGCCCTAGTTTCCAAATCTGAATGCAGATGCTATCTACTTGTTTTGTTTCTAAGAATGCCAAAAATAAATAAAGGTAATATAATTTTATTCCTACACAAGAAAAGGCACAAATATTTCAGGCCTATACTTACAAATAATATCTGTATTGACCAGAAAAACTTTTTTTTCTTAATTTATTTTTTTCAGTTGAAGTATAATTGACATATAACATTATCTTAGTTTCATGTGTATGACATAACAACTTGATAACTGTATACACTGCAAAACGATCATCATAAATCTAGTCAACATCTGTCACCAGTTAAAAAACATTTTCTTGTCAAAGAATTTTTAAGATTTACTCTCTGAGTAACTTTCAAATACGCAATACAGTACTATTAACTATAGTTGCCATGCTATACATTAATTACATTCCTAGGACTTACTTATAACCACGAGTGTACCTTTTGACCCTCTTCATCCATATTGCCCACCCCCCCCCCCAACCTCCATCTCTGGGAACCACCAATCTGTTCTCTTTAACTATGAGGCTGGTGAGTTTTGTTTTTGTTCTTGTTTTTGTTTTTTAGATTCTACGTATAAGAGAGATCATATAATAAATGTCCTCTGTCTGACTTATTTCACTTAGCATGATACCTTCAATTGCCCTGAGAAATTTAAACACACATTCTGTGTACTTATTTTTTGAGTGAGTTAAGAAGGGCATCTGACTGAAAGCTGCAAAACTAATACTGTTTTAACACCTTGCTCACTCACTATTATATACCACTCTATCTCAGGACAGAGATTTTGGATGATTTGACCTATGAACTACAAGCACCATTTACGGAGATTTGAGCAATGTGACCTATTACCAACCATAAGCACTATTTACTGAGTACCTAGCACGGGTGAGGTCCTCATGTAGGTGCTCATATACACTATCTCATTAAACCTTCCCATTAATCTGCTGGGTGGTATTACTTTGGTTTTCAAGTGAGATAATTCAGACTTGGAAAGGTCAAGTAACTAGTAACAAGAAAAGCCAGAATTTTAATCCACTTGATCTGACAAATTATGGGGTATATCCAAAACACTATCCTGACAAATGAGTAATTTTATTTTATTTTTTTAATATTTATTTATTTTTGAGAAAGACAGAGACAGAATGCGAGTGGGTTGGGGCAGACAGAGAGGGAGGCACAGAATCCGAAGCAGGCTCCAGGCTTCAAGCTGTAAGCACAGAGCCTGACATGGGGCTCGAACTCATGACCTGTGAGAACATGACCTGAGCCAAAGTCGGGTGCTCAACCAACTGAGCCACCCAGGTGCCCCAGAGTAATTTTATTCTTAAATCCTTCAAATCCAGGTTTAATTCTCCATTACACCTTCTCTGATCTCTCTCAATTAGACCTGACCACATCTCCTCTAAACTTCAGCAGAAGTTTAAAGAACTTTATCTGTGCTCTGGGACTGAACTTACCACTTTCTACCTCCTACTGCTGTGACTTATTTATAAACCTCATCTCCCCTACTGGAACGTAAATTTCTTACAACTGTGGATTCAACTGAGCTTAGCAAAGTACCTAGAACATGTTAGGCACTCAATAAATATTTGTTAATCTAATTAACTTTGAAATGAATGATGCTATAAAAATTCCTCTAAAAAGATCATACTCTGAAAATAAAACAAAAAAGATCATACTCTGTTTCAGATGTGGTGAAACAACTCTGCATAGGTAAAACATCTCCAGAGATACTACTTTATATATATTTTTTTAAGTTTATATATTTATCTTGAATGAGAGAGAGAGAAGGGGAGGGGCAGAGAGAGAGGGAGAGAGAATCACAAGCAGGCTCTGCACTGCCAGTGCAGAGCCCCACGCAGGGCTTGAACCCACGAACCGTGAGATCATAACCTGAGCTGAAATCCAGAGTCATATGCTTAACCAAATGAGCCACCCAGGCGCCCACAGAGGACAGTACTTAATGAAGAGAACTAAATTCATAATTCAAAATTATAATCACTCTTACAGTCATTAGTTTAAAAATAACTAGTAACACAGGACACCTGGGTGGCTCAGTTGGGTTAAATGCCTGACTCCTGATTTTGGGGCAGGTCATAATCTCATGGTTCATGGGATTGAGCACTACATTGGGCTCTGCAATGACAGCACAGAGCTTGCTTGGGATTCTCTCTCTCCCCCTCTCTCTGCCCCACCCCTACATGCTCACACTCTCTCTCTCTTAAAATAAACAAACATTAATAAAACAAACTAAAATAAAATAAAATAAAGATAATTAGTAACAACTTACCTTCCAATACTTCATCCTTTCCTTCTTTGTCAGTGGAGTCTTGTACAAGATAATGATGAGTGACTGAGAACTTGAAATCAGCGAAGGAAATTTCATCTGATTTCTCTTCCCATGTGCCAGAAGTAAATACACCCTATATTTAACAATGGAAAAATACCCATTTTTAAAAAGAAAATTCCCTTAGAATATCAACTATCAAGTGACATGCAAAATTAAAATTTTGAAATAATTTTTGAGATAAATATATAAAATAATATACAGTAAATTCCATGCCTCTAACATACAAAAAAAAAATTCCTATCATTAGCAGAATCTGGTTACATTTAGCTAAAAATGATTAAATTTTATCAATTTTAAAATTTAGAAAAAATACAAGGCAATAAAATATACTTTTATTCTAAAAATCTCAAATCCAATAACATCACTATATAGTGCACCGCGTTATTAGACATCAGAAATAGCTTAATAAAAAAGCAGTTTGTAGACTCAATTTAAGTGACATGACATTTGCAGCACTTATTTAACATGTTTTTGCAAGCATCTTTATCAAGCTTTGGTATTCAAATATTTTCATTTCAACTGCAACTCCTTGACTGGAAAACATTTTAATTAAAAGTCCCAAAGAGTCCCCTCACTTATGCAACATAATCATAAAAAAGAATTTTCCCCATGGGCCCTGAATCTCCCATAGTTATTCTTTCCACTGGAGAGGTATATAGTCATTACAACATAGCACCACTATGAGGCAGAAAATACCAACCCAGCAATTTGCCAACCACAGACAGTCCCAAATTAGATATAAAACATGTAAGGAATGATTTTGTTCATTACTGAGTTTTTATAAAAAGTGTTTTCACAACCATACCTTACGAATAATACTCAAGTGTTTTATATTTGTTGCTGGCAAAGTATTCATAATTCTGAATTGAGTTAAATCGTATTTTAAATGTCTTAAAGGTATCTTATTATGTAAATATATTATATAGCAATCTTTTTATATTAAGAGAAAAATCACTTGTATGATACATATCAGAAACTATACTTTTTATATGTTAAGTTTCTCTAAAGTGTGGTTAACCTGTATTAAATTAAGACATCTATGGCTGATACCAAAATTCTCAAACTGTAATAAGCATTATAATGATATACGTAAGAATATGGTGTACTATGAGGAACGCCCACTATAACGCAGTTAAGTCTAAACGTACAGACAAGGAAGAAGCGCAGGAAATGAGAGGTAAGCGTATTTGTTAAGCTTGCAAAAAAGGTGAAACATTCTTTTTAAATGATATAAAGAAACATTATCTGACCCTACTCTGGATTCTGGGTACCACTGGAAACCTTATGAACAGCCAGTTCAAGAAGGATTTGGTTGTATTCATTAAAGAGGAGGTATCTAGGTTCTGTCTCCCAAATAAACTTTTTAAGATAATTAGTTCAATTGAAAAACAACATTCTAACCTGCCTCCTTCATTTCCATTATGATACAGTCCTTTAATAACAAATTTCAGTATGGTGTATATTTATGATTACACTCAGAAATGACAACTTTAGTCCAATATTAATCTAGTGATTCATCAAAAACAACCTCTGAGGGCCCCAATCAGACAATAAAAATAAATAAGCATGTAGACTAGAAGGAAATAAAACTGTCTGCATTCACAATGATCTGACATGTACCTAGAATAGTCAAAGCAACTTACAAACTACTAAAACTAACTGATGAGTTTATAAAGTTGTGGAATTCAAAATCAATATACAAAAACCATCTGTATTTTTTTAGGTAGGCTCCACGCTGGGCATGGAGCCCAACACAGAGCCTGAACTCATGACCCTGAGATCAAGACTTGAGCTGACATCAAGAGTTGGACACTTAACCAACTGAGCCACCCACGCACCCCAAAAACCATCTGTATTTTTTTGAAGTATATTTATTTATTTTGAGAGAGAGCAGGGAAGAGGCAGAGAAGAGGTGGAGGAGAGAATCCCAAGCAGGCTCTGTGCTGTCAGTGCAGAGCCTGACATGGGGCTTGATCCCACGAACCATGAGATCCACAACCTGAGCCCAAATCGAAAGTCAGACACTTAACAGACTGCATCTGTATTTTTATATACATGCACTAAACACCTGGGAGATGAATTTTTTTTTAAATACCACTCTTACAACATCAAAAACAAATCAATTCTCTAGGAATACACTTAATGAAAAATAGCAAGAACTCTACCTAAGAATGCTTCAAAACCTTGATAAGAGGGATTAAAGACCTAAATAGAGCTAAATGTACATGGATTGGAAGACGCAACAGCAGTAAGATGTCATTCTCCTCAAAGAGATCTATATATTCAATATAATCCTAATCAAAATCCCAGCAGGTATTTTGTAGAAATTGACAAGCTGATTCTAAGAGTAATATGAAATCCAAAGGACCTAAAATACCTAAAATAATTTTGATGAAAAATATACCAGCTGATTTTAAGATTTACTTTGCTATAGTAATTAAGATGGTATAGTACTACCATAAAGACAAATAGATCAATAAAACTTAAGAGTCCAAAAATAGATTCCCATTTATACTTCATTTTACAACAGAGGAGCTACTGCAATTTAGTAGGGAAAGAATGATCTTTTCAACAAATGGCCCTGGAATAAAAAGATATTCTCATGGAGAAAAGCAGAGCTGTCTTTACAACATTGAGATAGGCAAAGATTCCTTTGACAGTACAATACACAAAAGGCATTTAACAATAAAATTAAAAATTAAGAAAATGAGGAGCACCCAAATATATAAAATAGTTAATAACAAACATAAAGGAACTAATCAATAATAATATAGTAATAGTAAAGGACTTTAACACCCCAGTGACATTAATGGAAATATCATCTAAACATAAAATCAACAAGAAAACAAGAGCATTGAATGACAGTGGACCAGATGGATTTAACAGATATATTCAGAACATTCCATCCTAAAACAACAGAATACACCTTCTTTTTAAATGCACATGGAACATTCTCCAGAACGGATCACATATTAGGCCACAAAACAAGCCTCAACAAATTCAAAAAGACTGAAGTCATACCATGCATCTTTTCTAACAACACTATGAAACTAGGAGTCAACCACAAGAAAAAAAAACTAGAAAGAGCACAAATACATGGAGGATCAATACATGCTACTAAACAATGAATGAGTCAACTAGGAAATGAAAGAAGAAATAAAAAACTACAAGGAAAAAGGAAAACACAATGTTCAAAACCTTTGGGACATACCAAAAGCTGTTCTAAGAGGGAAATTTAATCTAACAGGCTTACCTCAAGAAGAAAAATCTCAAATAAACAACATGACTTTACACAAAAAGGAGCTTTTATAAAAAGAATAAACAAAACCTAAAACCAGTAGAGGGAAGGAAATAATAAAGATTAGAGCAGAAATAAATGATATAGAAACCTAAACACACACACACACACACACACACACACACACACACACACACACACACACACTGGAACAGATCAGTGAAACCAGGAGCTCATTCTGTGAAACCAATCATTAAAAAAGAGAAAGGATTCAAATAAATAAAGTCACAAATGAGAGAGGGGAGATAAAAAAAAAATCACAGAAATACAAACAATTGTAAGTGAATATTTTGAAAAGCTATATGCCAACAAACTGGACAATCCAGAGGAAATGGGTAAATTCCTAGAAACATATAAACTACCAAAACTGAAAATGGAAGAAATAAAAAATTTGCACAGACTGATAACCAGCAAAGAACCTGAATCAGTAATCAAAAAACTCCCAACAAACACAAGTCCAGGACCAGATAGCTTCATAGGCAAATTCTACCAAACATTTAACGAAGAGTTAATGCCTATTCTTCTCAGACTACTTCAAAACATAGAAAAGGAAGGGTGCCTGGGTGGCTCAGTTGGTTAAGTGTCCAACTTCAGCTCAGGTCATGATTTCACTGTTTGTGGGTTCAAGCCCTGCATGGGGCTCTGTGCTGACAGCTCAGAGCCTGGAGCCTGCTTCAGATTCTGTGTCTCCCTCTCTTTCTGCCCCTCCCCCCGCTCACCCTCTGTCTCTCTCTCAAAAAATAAACGTTAAAAAAATGTTTTTTAAATATAGAAAAGGAAGGAAAATTTCACTCTATCAGGCCAGCATTATCCTGATACCAAACCCAGATAAAGACACCACAAAAGAAGAGAACTACATGGCCATATCCCTGAAGAACACAGATGCAAAATCCTCAATAAAAAAATACTAGTAAACTGAATCCAACAATACATTAAAAAAAAATCATTCAACACAACCCAGTAGGATTTATTCCCAGAATGCCAAGGTGGTTCAATATTAGCAAATCAATCAATATGATACATCATATCAATAAGAGAAAGGGTAAGTAACCAGGGGCCCCTGCCTGGATGGCTCAATGGGTTAAGCATGTGACTTTGGCTCAGGTCAGTATGTCACAGTCTGTGAGTTTGAGCCCCACATCAGGCGCTGTACTGACAGCTCAGAGCCTGGAGCCTGCTTTGGATTCTGTGTCTCCCTCTCTTTCTGCCCCTCCCCTGCTTGTGCTCTGTCTCTCTCAAAAATAAACAAACATCTTAAAATAAATTTTTTTTTATTTAACAAACTAAAAACTGTTTCTTCTACTGCCAAATGCAACACATTATTGAAAAGGACAAAAATACAGTAAAGCATTAAAAAACAGTGAATTTTTTTCCATTTCTTTTTTTGAGGAAGATAAAGCAATGGTTCTCAAGCTAATTACATTTTATAACCACTGAAGAGGCTTAAAAAATATACTGATAACTAGGTTCCACAATAGACCAATTAAATCAGAATCTCTGAGGTTGTAGCCTAGACACTAGAATTTTTCAAATGTTCCAATATGTAGTCAACATAGGAAAACACTTGGTATAGAGCTAGAAATTAAAGCTTTCATCCACTGGTATTAGAAATCCTTTTGACCATACACAATATTAAAATACAAGCATTAAAAAATCATCTGTGCTGGCACAACTGGATATCTACATGCAAAAACAAAAAAAATGAAATTGGATCCTTTCCTTAGACTAGACATGAACAGTCAAAATGGACTGCATATCTAAATATAAGAGCAAAA